CACTGACAGGTAGACCGTCGGCTTCGATGAGATCCATCGTGTAATCCACAGGATAGTGGTGTGGTCACTTGCGTGTACATTCTTTTAGGCGATAGGAGACTTACACTGCATCTACCGCACTCTCCCTTCTTCCGCCTACCCGCCCGAGCCCGGCATCAAGACAGAGAGAAGAAGACTAGAGGCGGTTTTGAACGCAGGCGGCGTGATCCTGCACCTAGGCGCGCCACCACGGTCCCATGGCTAGAATTTACTACCCGAAAAACGTGTTCCGTTCCCTGAACTAGCCCCCGTGTTGGTCCAGCGTATCCATTACGCGGTCCGGTAAGGGGAGGAAATACCGTTACACTAGAGTGGCACTCACAGACCAGAAAAGTGTGGATGCAAGCGAACGAGAGACAATGGGAATCGCACTTTCACTACTACTACAACTACTACTACAGTGAAGCACACTAGAGCATCCTCTACGCTATTATCTTTCCTCTCACATCTACTACGTTCCAATGGAAAAGTTACTGATAGAAACAAGCACGCACACTGCAGTAGGTGAAGGTACTTCAACAGGACTCCGGGCATTCCAGTCCTAAGAGGTTCGAGAAAAAGGGTTGTAATTGCTTATATGCTTTCCTTTTCCGAGAGGACACGGGATGAAGTTAGTCCTTATGACCCTTCCGGCAGGGCACGCGTATACGAACGTCCCATACCCCTCCGCCTTCACGTAATACGGATGCTAAATTCCAGGAAGCGAATCTGTGCACATGTCCTAACCCGAACACCAGTCCGAACCTCAACACCAATCTGGAGTTAATTTTCCTGACATTTAGCTCACAGCTACAACTATTAGGGACAGTTCCTATCCCCATTTCCTGCCGCTAGGGTCATATGAGTAAACCTCACCCCTAAACCTGATGCCAGTCCCTTTTCGAAAGGAAGCGAAAACAACTTTGGGCTAGGGTTGAGAATCAATGTCACAACCTTCGACTGTGCTAAACAGTATCTCAGAAGAAGTAGATTAACGAGAGCAAAAAGAATGGCTTGAAAAAAAGGAAAGGCACTGCAAGATTCGGCAAGAGAAAAAACAACCAAGCATTTCTGAGGATACTTTTGATAACCGAAAGAAGGAACCTGAAAGTCCTGACAAATTGATTAACTAACCTGGAAGGCACGGATGATGCCGACGTGTGCACCGCCTTTGGCGCCACCGCCGCCAAGGACCAGACCAACAGCCTGTCCGGTGAGGTACCTAGCCAGCCGGGAGATGTCTGCATGTGGATTGGGCACTTCGCAACTGAAGACACGACTGTAGAAGACCACCAGATTGCGTGACGATCGTTTTGAGAGGACGCGAGGTGGACATCGAATGTGATAGTGCTGGTTCACCCAGGGTCGAGCATTAAGCCAGGCTGCGGTGCTCTTGACCGGCGGGTAATCTGTCTCCAGGGTGTGCATCAGGACAAGCAGTTTCGTTACCTGCAGGCGAAGCATGGAATGAGCACGGTTAGGTTACTCTGACGCAGCAATATTTCCAAAAGTGATTCACAATTGGGTCAAATGAATTATTCAAATCTGCCAAACCTCCCTAGTAATTAAGCGAGCCTGCTGGATTCTAGATGATTCCTTAGGATGCCCTGCCTGGGCAGTTAGCTTGCTGTATCTGCAATACAGTAGTCGCCGGTTATTAAGCCCAGCCGCCTATTAAGCCCAAATCAGCTTGGGACGGAATTTCATATAGTAAAATCCGGCGGCTAATAAGCCCAGCCGCCGGCTACAAAGCCCAGTTTGCCAACAGGATAGGGTGAGATTCTCATCTCTCTGTGTGCGCAACTGGTTACGTGTCGCAAATCATTTTTTGTTTGTTTTAGTTATTACGTAAAAG